GCTGTGAGTTTACAGTTTACGGTTTGTAGATGATTGTAGATGTTCTTTAGTTATGAGTTATGATATGAAAAAAACATCTATAGTCAGTTAGTCTATAGTCTATATCGTACTATGAAATATAATCCATAGTCCATAGTCTATAGTCATCTATAACACTGATAATATTATATGATATAATTACTTTGATGAATGATAATCAATAGCCAATAGCTTTTATTGAATAATTTTATTGTTTTATCAAATCAAAACAATTTGGCAGGTGAAGGAGCCGGCTGTCATTTCAAAGGATGACATCAATGCAGTGAACACTCTTTGCACAAATTTGATGCTGTTGAGTACAAAGTCATCTGACTCCAAGAGTGAGGTCCAACTGCTAGCTTCGTGCCAACATGTAGTCCTGGCATGTGACCCGAATCTATTTTAAAAAAAAACTTATTTTTTATGTGTTCAGTATTGTTTACTATATATTATGTGTTGTTTCTGTTTTATGTTGTGTTGCTTGTAAGTATTGATTAGTCTACAAGGTCAGTCGCGGCAATCAGCAAGTGATACTCCTGATGACCGCACTGCTTTGGCACTATTCCTGAAGCCATACCACAATCTGATCTCTGCTTTCCGGGCATTGGACCCTCAGCAACAAGCACCAGACATCAACAAATGCATGACAACGATTCACGAATTCCTATCGAGATCAAGTCCGACCTTTGGGGCAGCTTTTGCTGAAGCACAAGCTCTATGTGATGTGTATCAGTCGTTCTCGCAAACGGCTGAGCTATTGATGAACAGCCGACAGAAGTACTATGACAAGGATGTGAACTCAACTGTGGAATCAATGACGACAATGCTCAAGAAGATTCCTGATCTCGATATCAAATCACCATCCGCTTTCACGAGGTGTGCAAAGCTTGTTGAGAAGGACATGCTTCAGGCAATCGACTTGGCTAAGTCCATCATTTCTTCCATAGAAAAGGATGCCAACGAGTTCATCTGCACTGTGGATTCTTTGTGTTCCAGATGGTCCGATGCTTGACTATGAAATATATGACATGACCTGTATTTCTTAAGTTTTTTGTGCTTTTTGTTGGGTATGCTGTGTATAGTTTGTTTGATCAATGATCCATTCAAATGCATTAGCTTATTGATTCAAGGATTTGAAGAGTACACACCATGCAGCGCTGACAATGATGGCTGAGCATTCATGTTGTATTCTTCTACATCTGCCAGCCGTGCAGAAGTGGATTGGTGAAGGAACCTCGATGATTCAGAACTGGCTATACCTTTTGAAATCTATTGTTGTTATTAGCGTTGTGAGTAGTTGTTAAGGTATTTAATTTACATTAATATATATTAATAGGTTTTTAATATATATGTGACTGGATGTTAGATATTGTTTTGTGATTTATGTATTCAAAACATTATGAGCAGAAACCATATCAGGACAGAAAGCTTCTGGCAAAACCAAAGACATGCTTAGCAAGCTGGTCGATCAATGCCAAAGTCAGTCACTTTCGATCAATGCTGAGCTGCAAGCAACGATCACTTCGTTGATTTGAACGCGCTGATCATGAGAGCCAACTGCTGATCATGTGGGAAGCTGTTGGCAAGCTGTTGATAATCTACAGTTTGTTCAACCAAAGGTCGGCAGAGGGTGGTGAGCAGAGATTGGAATGAGAACAACATAATTCGATTAGTTAGTTTGAAGCAGCCTGGACAACAACTGACATTGATGTTCATAGACATACTAGACTAGATTGTTTTATATGTGTATGTTTGGTATCATGACTGTTCACATGAGAACATATTACAATTATTTGCATGTTATGTTTGGTGATTTGGTAGTTAGATATGTGTGAAGAACCTCACTATTATATATCATTGCTGTAACAAACCGTCAGTTTCCAGAGCTGATGCTTTTGCAAGAGTTTGGTAGTCATAGCTAAAACTGCTGTGCTACCACGGCAATGACACATGGCTCACTGTCTACAGATATGTTCTTGTTCTTACATCAATGTCTTTGTATTTATCGCTCCTACATTAGCAATCAGCATAAATTATTATGTTCTATCAACGATAAAGATATATCTGTATATGAATATGATACATATCATATCATAAACTATTGTGTACATCATATGTTATTGACCGAGTGCTCAGCCATGTACACAGGCGAATACATTTGCTGCATCATCTTAGCTTCTTAGTTCAGAAAGCTACCAATAGCATTGGGTTTGGGGAAAAGCTGTGTGGTGCAAGCTGCACGCATGTTGCTTTCTTTTGTGATGTTAACGTTTTTTTTTTGATGTGTTTCAATGTTCAAATTCCAACCATGTCCAACGTCTTTGTATATTGGCAGCATGTGACTGAAATACAGTTAACAATAACAGCTGACTGTTGACTGTTGATTATAGTTCACAGATAGTGCTAGACGCTACCAATATCAGTTGTTGATGATTGCTTAACATTACCAGTATCAAGTATGGACAATCATGAATCACGATATCATGTCACATGTATGAATCTGTATGAATCAATCACATGGAAATCCAACAAACATATATTGATGTTAGTAGCATAGACTGTGGAATGTTGTCAGGCTTTCGAACATCCAAGTGTCACATCGAAAGTTACGCAATGGCACGTACCAAGGCAGACGCGGTTGCAAAAGCAAAGGCCAAGGCCAACGCAGCAACAGCTGCAAAATCAAAACCAAAGGCTGCGCCAAAGCCCAAACCAAAAACGAGAATAGTACTCAGGCCCAAGCCAAAGCCCAAAGCAAAACAACCAGGCAGAAAACGCAAGACCTGTGATGGCAATCCCTTTGATCAACCACCTGATGTTGACCAGAGACGCCTTGTGTTTCCTAGGACAAATCAACCAGTTGCAAGTGATGCTGACCCTGGTGATGATGATGACAATGAGTCGTCATCATCTGAACCCACGTTTCATGAAGACCAGCCTTCACAGCCAGATGATGAACCTACCATGGAAGACGGAATGCCAGCTGAGACTGGCAACATTGCTGGCACTGAACCTACCCTCGAGACTACTGCTGCTGCTGCTGATGAGCAAACAGACCAGCCTTCACAACCAGTGGAAACCACCATGGAAGAAACAACAGCTGAGACCAATGTGATTACCGACGCTGAGCCTACCGTTGAGACTGCCAATGCTCAACATACAGACCAGCCTTCACAGCCAGCGGAACCCACCATGGAAGAACCATCAGCTGAGACCAATATGATTGCTGACACTGAGCATGCCGTTGACACTCACAATGCTCAGCATACAGACCAGCCTTCACAGCCAGCGGAATCCACCATGGTAGAAGCACCAGCTGAGACCAAGGTGATTGCGGACACTGAGCCTGCCGTTCAGACTACTGCTGCGCTTGCTAAATCAGACTCCAAACAAGATGAAGCCATCATGGAGCCAAACACTCAACCACATCCAGGGCAGTTTGCTTGTACACAAGTTAGTTCTGTTCCAGAAGCAGCTGAACCACAGCCACCCAGGTTTTCACAACCAGTTGAGCATGGGCAACCAGCTGAGTTACAGCAACCGTCACCAGCCAGAGAAAATGAACCAACAAAGGAACATGCAAACACTCACACAGCTGGAGCCACACAGGTTTGTGAACACAGAACACGTGATCACAAGAGTCACATGAGCAACATGGAGTCACAAAACATTGACACAATGGACACCGATACTCAAGGTGACACTGCAGGTGTCATTGCCAACATGGGATCCTCACCACAAACGAAGGACCGGTTTCATTGATAGATTTGCAGTATGTCAAATACAACACACATGCTGTGTGTATTATTATTTTCAGAGCAGGATTCTTTCACTTACTTATCACTATCACATATATTGTCAGGAGACGGCTTCATCTTGCATAGACTTTAAGACTCAATTGGGTGATCGCATCTTTGACTACATCTTCCAAATCAACCTGGAGGCCAAATCTAGAGTTGTGTTTTTTTTTGCATGTGGTGTATCCTGTATCAGTTTGTTTATAATGATACAGCAATGTCATCATTGATATCAGAATCAAAACCACACCCAATGACTACATTGTCAATGTAGCTAATATGCCAGGGGATCAACACGAACAAGGCGCATCTACGTGATCGATTGCAGTACATCAAGAAAGAGGTGTTTGCTGCAAACCCGGACTGGTGTTGCAATGATTCACCGTGCTCTTGCAATGATACATGTGTCGCTGATGGTGTTTGCTTTATGTTGGTTTTCATTTCAGATGCTAAAGTTAATCTGGCAGGACATGGACACACTTCACGCCCTAGAAGTATCAGTGGATGAGGTTCATGCTGCAATGCAAGAACTACCACAAGTACAAGTTCCATCAGAATCAATCACTGCTGCAAGTCAGGAGTGTCACAAGTATTGTATGTAGTATAATGTAACAATGTAAATAATTTACAATTAAGTTTGAGTCTTAGCCTTAGCCTTATTTGGGTTTTAAATAAATTCAATTTGATTGAACCACAACATATGTGATAACTCATAGGATGTCCATTGGTCCATTACAGTCACCCATACTGTAGCATTTCAGACCTGCTGTTGGAAGTTAAAGTTAGAAGAAGCCAGGATCCAAATTCACAGCCACGTGATGATTGTTCACAGAACCATGCAGACTCACAACAAGAAGACGAGGACGGCAAAGACATCAACTGTGATTCTGTGATGCTATTTGTTGTTTTTGTGTGTTCTGTCTATGTACATGTTGTTTCTGCTGACTTCAACAGAATGATCAGGACGTTCCCAAACTGGATGGATCGCAGCTGGAACCATCTGAAGATGTCGGGCCAACATGCATTGATACTGAAGACATTATTGGTTCGTGTGCACAGGTTGGCACAACAACACCTATGAAGCAAAACGATTGAACCAATGCACTGCACAAATGTTTTTTTTGTTGATATTGATATTGAATTGACTTGACATCAATCATTGTCATTCTCTTCTACCTGAAGGCTATGGCCAAGAGGGCATCTGTGATCCCTGGTACATTGCAACGATTGGGCAATCTACCTCAGGATTGGGGATTGATAACCACATGTACTGGTTCAGGTACATTTGAGATTGCTTTGTCATGCGTGGCAGATGCATTGGGCAACTTCGTTCCAGCTGACTGCATGAAATTGTTTCATGTGTCTTGGTTGTTGTTGTTGTTTCTATATGTTATTTTTGGTGTTTTCTTCCTAGGTAGTAGACTTAGTTGTATTGACTTTTGATAGTTATTTAAATATGATTGGGAGATATTGTGAGTGAAGCTGTTGTTGACACTAAATCCAAAGAAACTTGACCACATATGATGTGGTATCATTGTTATTCCACAATGAACAATGTGTTGAGGTGAAAGAACTGATGGCCTCAGAGTGTGAGAAGTGGAAGCAGAATCTACTATCGGCACATGTTATCACCAGCCGAACCTCATGTTTGTTTGCAGATGTGACGGAATTGGGCAATGCAGATGCCCGCTATTGTGTGAAACACAAGACAAACTGTGTCACTAGACTGCATTATTTAAAAAACCATATAGTCAAAGATATTGCAACTTTGTTTTTTGGTAGTTTCATGAACTAATCATCAATGATTGGACTGAACACTCAAGGCTGTGCCGAGCAAGGGCAATGCAATGGCACTGGGCAGTGGCTTCAGTTGCAAATCACTGTCCAAACTACAAAACGATGGTGGTCTATTCAAGAGAGCAATGATCGACAAAAATCAGGACTAAAACACATGAAACATTCAGTGAGCAAAATGTATATAAATTATTGTTATCATATTGCAACCAACATAGTAAACAAACTATGCTTATAACTTATGACTTGACATTGTGAATTTTGTATATATGTTTTGATTCAGCTTGTGCGAGCAATTGTTATTTTGATTGTTTTTTAGTTCTATCTCAGATAGACAATCTGACTAATATTTAGCTAATGCTTTGGCAGGAGAGTTCTTCATATCGGACATTCGCAGCTACATTAGACTTGGCTGAGTCAGTTGCTCCACTTTGGCTTATTTTGGAGAACGTTGATCTTGGAGACTGCTCCAACGCGGATAGCAATGGTGCTACCATCTCAAGGCTTTTGTCTGAAGCTGGCTTTGTTACACGTGACTATGACAATGTTTGGCAACATTTATATCGTGCATTATGTATCTTCTCTAAGTTAAGTGTTGGACATACATCATACAACTACTTTGATTTGTGATGATAATATTGTAATCTATAGTTTAAACTAATAAGAACATCTATATAGTAATATGAATAATATGTTACAACACTATAGTAATACTACAGCGCTATAGATCTTTGACTATGGCGGGGAGTTTCACTATGACATACTAACAACCTGTTAGTTGCTTTTTGCTTTATAATGCTTTCATTTCTCAACTACGTTCACACAGGTATGATCTTGCTCAAGGCGTCTGATTTTGGACTACCACAGCGACGTGTGCGGTTGTTCATCTTGGGCATCAACAAATCACGCGCAGAAGAGGAACTTACAAATACACCTGAGGAGGTGTTGGAATTGGCTATTGGTACTTATTTGCCGAGCCTCAAAATGCCTTGCCCACCTGTTGCATCTTGTCTTATATTAAATCTGGCTGTTTAACTTACGAATCACGTGAATGATACGATTCGATACGCTGCTGGTATGCTGTTTTGCAAATTGGCTTATTGACTTGACTTGAATATCACTTTTGGTCAGCTTTCTGTTTGTATGTATTGTGGTGTCTTGAGCTGACTGTTTATCATGATCATCCATTTGCTTAGGATGCCTTTCTGCTTGAAGATGATGATGATACCATCACAGCTGAATTGGAGCGGAGAGAGAAATCAAAACGTGATAGAGAGAAGCGTAGGCAGCAAGAACAAGATGAAGACGACTATGACTATTTGGAAGCACACATGAAAGGTGACAAATGGAAATCCTTACATATGAGCTTGGCAAACAGCCGTGGGAAACTGAGTATTCGGACTAAACTAAACATTGGTTTTTGTCAACTGGAGCAGACTTGAACCTAATCAAACTTGTGGACTTGTGAACCTAAGTCTACTCAGTTGGTAGGTTTTTGGTTGCTACTTTGAAGCAAAGTTAACTGAATCTATGACTCTGACTGCCACTGAGACTCTCGTACTGACTACTCAAGCTATCACTACAACTGTTAGATTCAAATTAAGACCAAGACTCGACTAAGACTCCGACGACCACTGCCACAGTCACTATCATTTGCATGTAAGGAAATTTGCAATGGCCATTGAAGCTACCACCATCTTTGGAGACAAATCGCTGGTTCAACACATTGCCCCTGAGGGAGAAAGAGGCAGCAGCTCTGGTATTGTGAACTGAAATGAATACTATTTTATATTTTCAAATCAAGCCATACATAGTTATCATAGTCATAGGGAGTCATAGACGTCATAGACGTAGAATCCATTCAACTATGTTGTCACTAATTTTATGATAAAATAGACTAATAATAACGCATTTACTTTACTGTTGTGCAACAGTTCAGTTGGTTCAGCATCCAAATGTGTCACCTCATTTACTATTTGTTCACATACTTCTGCAATCACCCTGTCAGATACTTACATTCGTCGCAGACCAGAACGCATCCCGAATCAATGCTGGTCAAGAGCCATACCGCTTCGCAGATCTGTACCACAGTGCAAACCGGACACCTGTATCTACGAGTGAAGAAACATGAATTAAGTTATGAATCTGAATGTTTTGTTTACTTTCAGTGCTTGTAACTTGTTACTAACATTATTAATGATCCACCACCTATTATTCATATGATTTGTTCTTCAATTGGTTTTGAGACGTTCATCAAAGCGAACATCTAGACTAGACTTTATGTTAGTATTAGATTAAGTATTTTTTTCACATCATGTATTACACACACCAAAAGTGTTTATTTCATCAACTGAGGAGGTGCCAACAATATTGCCTTCAGGCACACTATGGGATTTTGATCGCAATAGATTGGTGGTGGGTGTTGAATCTATGCAGCTCCAGGGAATACAATATGAATATCACGACATTATCACCAATGGGCAACATCAAGATCTCGCAGGCAATATGTTTCTTATTTTTAGTCATGTTAAACATTTTATCTTTCTAAATGTGGATCTGCTCGGTTGTTTGTTTGTTTGTTTGCTTTGGTTGGATTGGTATGTTCTTCTTCGTACGGCTCCTCACAGTCTGATTGATTGTGTAAACTGATCCAAGGTTTCCATCGACTGTGATTGCGGCCCTGCAGATGTCAATCATCTGTTCGCTGGAGTATGCTTCAGAGAAAGACAACGATGCCATTGATGCGGTTGAGGCTATGTTGAATGTGTTCCTGGAACAAAACTAGTTTAGTTTAATGGTATCGGTATCAGTGATATTCTAGTATCAGATCTTGATGTTTTTAGACAATTGTTTCTTTGCAAATGCTTTGTCTTCAACATATGCAAGATATTGTTGTTTCTGATATGTGCTGGAATGTATTATTTATATAAGTTTCAGTTTGAGTATAGGGAACCGTTCATGCCAGGTAGTTGTTTGTTGTGTAACTTAGTGTAAAAATTGTGTTTCTTTCAATGCCTCACTCAGGCTCTCGTCATGATGGATGACAGATCAGATCAACGATCTGTATGATACGTGGAGCTTGTGGGAAAACCACAGCACTGCTGTGTCTAATCGTCGGCAAAGCTGACCAGAATGGAAACAGAAACCCCACACAGTGTGAGAGTGCACTGAAGGAAAACACAGTCCTGCTGCTGAACTTGTCCGTGCACATTATACACCTAACATAACATGTTTAGAACGACATTGTGACATTGTGTCATTGTGTCATGTAATTTTCAATTACACTGTATCGTAATAGTTTCTGACACTGTAGTCTAATGTATCAATAATATCATCACAATGTGTGCTTTTAAACCATATCTTGTCATTATGTCATCATACCGTACCATACAATGCATACCCGTACCTATCGTACCGTACCATGGTTCCTTGCCTGTACCTATCGTACCGTACCATGGCTTCGTACCCGTACCTATCGTACCGTACCATCCCAAGCCACTTGACAAGTCACAGCTATCTTGAACTTTCATAACGCTTAACTGGAACGATCTGAATGCTTCCAGGGGCAACTGGATCCATCCTAGGATCGAGAAAAACATCGTGGGCAAGACATGTCAGGTGGGCTGCTCCATAAACCTGGGACATCTCGTTGACTGCTGGTCAGCTGGTCATGGCACCCTGAACTGGTCGTCTACACCAAACTGGACTGAGTTTTTGACTTTTTGACCTGTTTTGACCAATCTATACGGCATCAACTGGCAGGTCTTGTCTCACCTACCTACCCGGAATGGCATCCAAAGCTACGAACGCCGGGTGGCGATCCTCGTGACTTCGACGATTCCCATTGGACGACCCGAACCACGACCCCACCCCGACAGTGGACGATCTGGATCCATGTCAGTCCAAGTGGTTTGGGGGATCCATTAAGAACAGCCACAAAGACAGTAGGTCACCAGAATGCACGGCAAGCAACACTGGCAGCCACAAGCCGAACGGATTTCGAGGCTTGGAGAACCTGAGCAAGTACCCGCAGATGGTGGCGCATGCCGACAAGGCGGACCGAGGGTCTCGGCCTGTCCTGCCCTCTCTCTCTCTCTCTCTTCGTTGAACGTTGTGACGTCCGGACATCCTTTGGATCGGTCGTTGTGCGTCGCGTGCAGCGACTTCGTATCTACTTATTAGACTATACAGACTATACACTTTTAACCAATGGACAGGAGCCTGGCCTTGCTTAGGGTTAAGTGATGAAGCGATCCAAACTATAGGTGGCGTTGTGAATCGATCCAAAAGCTAGCAAATGTGCAGCTACAAATAGGCAAGCACACAGGTAAGCACATGATGTATTCAGAGACCCCTTGCAGGCCGCGGCCAAGGGTGTTTACTTGGGTCTATTCAGGTCTATTCCCAACCTTTCCTGAGCCATGGTCACCATGGGTTGGTTGATGTTTTCTTCTTTTTTCCGTGGCCCATTTGAGAGAAAGAATTAGATGAAGGAGGATTGTGTTTTTTTTTCACCGATGTGTGCAAAAAAAAGAACGCGCCGTGGCTCAAAACTCAGAAGTTCAAAGCAATTTTTGGTCGGCCCAAGAACAAGGCCCAAGTCTTCCGTCCGCAGAGAACCCCTGAGACGTGTCCTTTTCATGTCCTTATTTGTGTCGACACAGACATCCAGTTGGTTCTTGTTCAAGCTCAGATTGCTGTCAATCTCTAAGGATTTACAGTATAGATGACCAGCAGATAGAAATAGATAGAATATAGAACCACAGATTGAACTGTTATATAGTACCTCCAAGGGACAAAGGAGTTCATGGCCGGAGGTATAAGACGCCAGAAATCCGTCGTCATCAGATCCTAGTATCGTAATTAATCCTGATTTCTCCAGATTTTGATGGTCAGGTGGTTCGTTTGGAGGCCTACAACTACCACAGCGATTGAGCTGTGACCACCACCCACCGCGGAGCAGCGTGGAGTGCGAGCAGCGATGGCCGGGAACAAAAACGTGAATACATGACCGATGTGCGTTCAGAAGATGCGGTGGTTGGTGGAGGAGCATGTGAGATTGGACATGACATCTCAAAGAACGAGTGTGGGTCATGATCTCACCTCTCCTTTGAGTCCCTTACAATCCTTACATTTCGAAGGACTCCACATCTCGGATAGAAAACCCAGTCTGGCCGAGGAAGGCAGCTCCAAACACTTGGACTGGACCCTTACTTTGCAACATTCTTGGCCGCCCCCAAGCCATGAGCGGATGATTGATGCAAATATGTTTAAATCCTCCAATGAAATGACATGAACTTGCCCGCTTCAGCGGTATCTGACTCAGCGGGCACTTCCCCAGACTGCCGAAAAAACCGTCCGGAAGACAGGCCCATTGGAGAGGTAGGGTGGATCCAGTCCTCCAATGAGCCACGACCTGGTAATCACCTCGTCTTCAATCATTCTCCACGGATCACCGTCCGATGACTCCATCGTTGCACACGACCTCGGTGTGCACCAAACGGATCTACCGTCCGATGGGCTGAGGATTTGCCGCCTCACAGTCCGGTGCCGCAGGGGCGACCGCTCAATTTCCGGGCCTTGACTTGGGCGACCCCGTCCACGGCGTCGTGTCCGCGACTTGCGGAAGAGTCGTTCGTCCATTGTTCCGCAGGGCCTCCAGCCTCCAGGGACCCTGTTTTGTTCTTTTTTTTTCGACATGTACCAGCGCCCGACTTCACAGGTCACCAATTGAAACCTGTATTCGGGCCCTTTCCCAACCCTCTATTTCGGAGACCTGGCAGCGAGGGTGCTGGTATGTTGGGTGTTTTGGGGATTTCGGTCATCCGATCTGAAGACTCTTCAGGTCAATGCAGGAGATACTACATGAAGGTATTGAATACCTACCCGGGATTGAAGATCAGAGCTGCGAGGACATACTCCCAAAACGATCTTCCTCTTCAACTTGCGATCTGTGACTTGACCTTTTTGATGATCCCCAAATAGATGACCGTGGCACGGTATCCACGACATTTTTTTGGCCGTGGGGATTCACACAATTCTCTCTATTTGGGGGTCTACAATGATCTATACATGGGTGTGTATTTGAATAGAGTGACACCCAACCAGGGGTATTAGGTCTATGGTCCTTCCTTCTTCGGGATGTCGGAACCGAGGTCTCCCTATTCTAATACGTCCGACCAGTGGGACCGATGCCTCTCACGCCCGATGGCATGAAAAAGCGTGGCGATGTCGGAAGACAATGAACATCTATGAACATCCTGAACAACAGATAGGTGCTGAACTCATATGATACCTCTCAGTGTGAACTGATTCCAAGGGAGGGTACAGGGTACACTCCCTGAAACAAACATGGAAGTGGAGGTTCTCCTCCTGTGTGTAGAGGAAACATCGTATTCCAGGAGGCCGTTGTCCGCTTCCCAGGTGGCTCGCCAGGCGCACGCGGCCACGAGGTGCTTCGGCGCACTGCTACGAGTGGGTTATGACTTCTCTCACCTTCCAAGACACAGAATGGTTGACCTGGTTTTGTATAGTGTATACCACATGTGAATGGGCTAAGACTCGACCCAGGCAATTCCCAACTCATGAGAAGCACAAATCCTTACTCATCAGACGATATCAGACGCTAGTATAATCCTCCTCGGTAAAACAATGGTTTCAGTTTCGGTCATTAAATCACTGCAGTAATTTAATGCGTGGTTGGAGTCCTATGGGCTTGGATTAGGGATGGGTCGGTGCTTGAAGATGTGGAGAAACCACGTGTGCAGCTGTTTTTTCGTTGAAGAGGTATTAGAGTAGCTTTCCTGAAAGGAGAAACTGCAGAACCAACGAACACACTCATTTGCTGCTGTATTTCTTGGATGGAAAGACCTCCCAGTTGCGAACAGGTTGGCACTCCCGTGGGGTTCACTGTTCGGTTTTCAGGAAGATCGACGGAACACATAAAAACCACGGTCGGGTTGAGTTATCGGAGCTGTTCATCTTCCTGGCAGCGGAACCCGTCTCGAACCGCCCGGTTCGGTCTCGGAACCCCCGGTTCGGTACCGGTTCGGTCTCCGACCCTACAAGGGTGGTGTAGAAATCCTCGGTGCCGGTACAGAATGGCAGATTCTTTGTTGCAAGAGGTTCTTGCCGTTGTACATTGTAGACGGTTTACTTTGGAGCCTGGCCTGAGGCCTGATGCAACTGGCACTCCGAGAGGGAGTCGTGGGAAAACGATCAAATTTAAAGGAACAAGAGGACGCTACTAGGGGCTCCTGGCATCGCTACGAACGGAGCGTTCGGACGCCAAGAACGGGGCTCCTGCCTAGCAAGGACGCTACTAGGACTCATTTTAAGGTTGGAGGCCACGACCGGACTTTGAGCTCTGGTGTGGCCCGAGGCTCCGGGCCTTCCGCTCCAGGTGCCCACAGCAGCGACAGGCGATGCGACGGCAGCAACAGGCGGTGCAGTGGCGGTTTCAGTGGCCACTGGACAGCAAGTGGGGTATTGGACGGGTGACTCCTGGAGGTTGAGGAACCTCTTTTTAATGAGCGATGTTTTGCCGGGTTTGCCGTTTGGCGCCCCATGGGTGGTTTGAAGATGTTTGAATCCAAGCTCCTTTTTCCCTGCTTTCACTTCTTGGCTTCACTTCCCTGTTTTACAACACGGAACCTCGGCGTCGGTTCCGTGTTGTTTCTGACTCCCAGCCACTCAGGAGACTTCACAGTTGCGTGGCCCCAGAGGGAACGTTGGGGCGGAGCGGCGGAGCAGTGCGGACTGGCCATTTGTTGAGCCATGTTATTTTTTGCAGATGGGCCAATGGGTCTGCTCAAGGGGTCCTTTTATTTTATTGCATGCCCAACATTTTGTGGATGATGTTTCGTCTAGTTTCAGAGAGGGAGAGGGGGAGAGAGGGAGAGAGGGAGAGAGGGAGAGAGGGAGAGAGGGAGAG